ATTTATCAACTAGAGTGACCTTAAGTATAACCATTACTTATATGAAGTGAAAAAATCATGTACTTTACAGCAGTGTAAGGAAATATTAGATTTTTGTTAACATTTGTCAACAACTGCAATGGACCGGTGACCTGTCCAGGGTGTACCCCTGCCTCTTGCCCCATGTGCGCTGGAGAATGTTTTTCTCCAATTCACTTAAATATATTAGTGCACATTAGGTGTAAAATGCATTTATTGCAACTTTGAAAGTAACTTTGTAAGTAGATTTCATAGAAGGCACCATTTTATGGTGAGATGAGATTTCATTTCTATGGTTTCTATTTTCTATGTGATGGTTTGTTAGAGCGAAATTCTGAAAGCGACTGAGAGAGTAACACTAGTGTAAGACTGAACAGAATCAGGCCTTTTAAAGCTGATCACAGTCAATAAAGGATAGTGGAGATGTCCCAAAGTCACCGGGAGGTGAAAGGAGAAAGACTGGGCTTTGTTCCTTTAATAAACTGAAAGACCATTTTATTCCTCTGGATAGAGCTCTTCTTCTCATCCAGTTTTATGCAAAACTAGTGATTAATCCTTGGTAAAATGGAGATGAAAAACAGAAGTGTGTTTCCAAACACTGGCTTGCTCCTTGTGTATCCTCATGTTCATATTTAGAAAAACTTTTTAAAACAAAACATTTTGAGTCCTGAAACCTTTCTGAAACCTAAAATCATTAATCTGATGTTGCGAGTCTAATGTAGGATACTTTCTTCTTTTTTCTCCAGAATATACAATATATTTAGTTTTTTGAAAAAGTCAAATAAGGGTGTACAAAGGTCACAGCATCAGCAGTGAAGCATATGATCTTGTTGAGTCAGGTTTCCAAGGTGTTTGAGTGTATGTGGACACAGGGCAGTGATCTGTTGACCACTCCTCTTCACCTCCTCCACCAGAGCATAAAACCAGCTCAGCATCTCCTTGCAGCGTACACACATTCAAAATCTCTCAACACACTCTTGCAAAGATGCCGTGTCTCACTTCAGCTCACAGGCAGAGGATACCGAATGACTTTGAGTCAGTTCTGGAGAGAATTCTCATGGTAAGAAAAGATCATGTGGTCGAGCCCAAAGAGTTCTTGCGGTGATTTTAGCTTTTCGTCCTTCTTTGCACTGAATACATCTGAAATCGTATAAATGATGATATGAGTTATTTATGATGGATTGTGCAGGTGGACCAAATTCTGTCCGAGTTTGTGCTGAGTAAAGAAGAATTGGAGGAAGTTATGAGGCGAATGCGGAGAGAGATGGAAAGAGGACTTCGAGTGGAGACACATGATGAAGCTAGTGTTAAAATGCTTCCCACATACGTCCGATCTACTCCTGAAGGATCCGGTAATTCATTTACATTGCATTTAACGCCTCTTTAAATCCTCTTTTTTATACTAATTTTTGGGGTACAATTAAAAGATTCACACCACTAAAATTTTCTTTTAGTAGCATTTAAGCACTATTCTGGCTAAAGCAAGAACGATTTGTAATGAAAGAAAGAGTAATGAGCAAATACTTGAATATAATGATCGACAAATTTGCATTATTTTGTTACAGTTTAATTTTTTTTTTTTGTACTGTATGTGAAACCTTTTTGGTTAAAGGGCCTCTATTGTTGGTTCAAAAAGCTCATATTTTGTTTTTTTTAGTCTGACTGAAATGCTCGACAGGGTAAAAGCATTTCCTGTAATTCTCTTATAATAAATGGTATACACCACCAAGTTTTTATAAAAATACATTAAGGGGGGAATTTAATAAAATCACTGGTTCTAAAAATACATACAGAGCCATTATTAGTTATTTTCCCCAACCATAGTTTTGTTTTTCTCACATTTGTATCACTTTATGTTTCTAATCTTTTGAAATAAGCACATATATATCTAAAAAAAACATACATATCTCCAAGAAAAAAAGTTCTATATTAAGAAGTCAAATGTGAAACAAGGGTCTCAAGGTCTATACCAGAAGAGGATGACTTGTGAGGGGATGGTGCCACACAGGATCAAACAAAACCAAAACAAAGCAACGGAACAACCAAAGTCTATCCAGAAATAAGATCCTGCAGCTAACAAAAGGAAAACAACGCAATCCTCCGCAAGCACAAACACTCTCCAGGTAGCTCTCCATCTAGCAGCTGCAGAGAATGGTGGGTGTGCTAAAAAGAGTCGTGTTTTATTCCCGCCTCCTTTACATAAATGCATTTACTGGTAGACCTCTCCCTCCTTATTTCACAAAGCTTTCTAATAGTAAGGTGTGAAAGCACCCAGCCGAGACTTCCGGGTGTTGTGACACACTAAATGCATGGGATTACTCAAAATGCACAGGATGCATCATTAGTTTCAAACTACTGTAGCATTAGCTAATGCTCCACCAACATACTCCTTTAATTACATATTATCACTATTTAAAGCTCCCATGTGCTCAAAGAATGGTTTCCATTTTGTAATTCTTCTATTGAACTTTAAATTTTCCATAGTTAAGCACTGCAGCCACAAGCGTTTTTTTCCTAAAAAAGTGGTCCATCCTGGGTCAGATCCTGATGTTTTAAAAATAAGACAAGGAAAGCAGAATAAATCCACCACATCCATATGTTCTTTCCCCAAAGGGTGCTAGGTTAAGTGATTTAATAGAATTTCTTTGGTTTTTGTCCATTTTCTTATTTTCTCCTGCACAAAATCTCTGATTGGCTAAGTCTATGAGATCATTCTATTGCACCCTAGAGTTTGTGTCAACAATGGCATTTACGTACGTCTGACCAATGAGAAATTTGAGTCAATGGAAATTAAAATAAAGGCCACACTTACAAACTGCTAACTTTGTTTTACCTAAAAATATTTGTGAACACTTATATATTAATAAAAGTTTTCCAACTCGTTTTATTCCTGTTTTGGGATCATTATATGTCAATGGAAAATATTTAACCCCTTATTGAGCCAAGGGTTCAAATACTTTTTCACTGTGCTTGGAATGTTTTTGCACATACTGATAACCTCCACAATTGTGGTCAATTTCTGTGAGGTTCTCAGTTTGAGTTCAATCCCATGTTATGTCGATGGAACATTTCCCAGGATTTTTTTAATGGTACCAGCCGGAAATGATATAGTAACCCGAGTTAGACCAGTCTGGATATCTTGGCAAAACGAATAACAATAAAAAAAAAATCCCAATCCCTCTGTTAGAACAGGGTTTAGCTGTAGGTGAACTGCGAGGGCTATTCGTCCCCTTTGAATCTACTCATGAAAAAAATGATTTCTGTGATTCAGAGGTGGGCGATTTCCTGGCACTCGATCTTGGAGGAACAAACTTTCGAGTGATGCTGGTGAAAGTGGGTGAGGATGAAGAGCGAGGCTGGAAGGTGGAGACCAAACACCACATGTACTCCATACCTGAAGATGCCATGACTGGAACGGCTGAAATGGTGAGAGAAATTAAACCTTTTCCCTGGTGTTTTTAATTTATGGTTATGTCCGTTTTGTGTGATGGCCACAAAAATACCTTCTGCCACTGTAAGAACTTAATGTTTCCAATACAAAACGGTTCTCCATAGAGAAACACAAAGTCTGCTGCTCAATAGACTTTTCTTCATCTAGTTGTTCGACTACATTGCCGGCTGCATCTCTGACTTCCTTGATAAACACAATCTCAAACACAAGAAGCTTCCCCTTGGATTCACCTTCTCTTTTCCTGTCCGTCATGAGGATCTTGACAAGGTCAGTGACTTTAAGAAGACGTGAGCCTATTTCTAAATACATAGCATAACATTTTTACATCCCTTTTGATCTCTGACAGGGAATTCTGCTGAACTGGACTAAAGGATTCAAGGCTTCGGGTGCTGAAGGAAATAATGTTGTGGGTCTTCTGAGGGATGCCATCAAAAGAAGAGGGGTATGAACCAGTCAAATTTCATCGCAAACACTCCTAATTTAAATAGTTCCAGGATTAGAAAAAACATAATAATAACCAATCACATGGTTGGATCATTCTTTGCTTAGGATTTTGAAATGGACGTGGTTGCCATGGTGAATGACACAGTAGCAACCATGATATCCTGTTACTATGAAGACCGCAGCTGTGAAGTCGGCATGATAGTGGGTATGTCAATATAATTACAGCCTGGCCTTTAACTTTACGACAAGAGCGTGGAATTATTGACCGAACACTAGGGATGGAAGCAGTGTGGCTGAAGCTTTTAGCATTTGTGCTTTCCCAGGGACCGGTTGTAATGCTTGTTACATGGAAGAGCTGCGGAAGGTTGATCTGGTTGAGGGAGAGGAGGGGCGCATGTGTGTGAACACCGAGTGGGGGGCATTCGGGGACAACGGAGAACTGGAGGATTTCCGTCTGGAATATGATCGAGTCATTGATGAGACCTCGCTTAACCCTGGACAGCAGCTGTGAGTATCTTCATCTGTTTTTTCTCTATTTTTCGCAGTTCTTATGTACAAAAAACATTGTTGTTTGAAGAAAATGACATTAGTGTGGGCCTTTTTAAAGATGACTTGTGAACCGTCTCTCATCAATCAAAATGTATTTGAAAAAGTGCCACGCTACAACACGATGTTTGCTCGCAGTGAAATAAGTTGTGCGTGACAAGTACAACAGATGCACACAGTCGAACACAAACTACACATATAAACAGACATTACACTTATCCACTAAGCAAAACACTGCTTAACGCACCAAACGCGGTGAGTTTCAGACCTGAAAGGAAGAGGCAGAGAGTTCCAGAGCACCCCCCCCCCCCATGCTTTGTATTCAGTGCTCTGATTTGAATATTCATGGAATCATCTCGTTGTCATGTCAATCAAACTTTTATTTGTCACATACAGGCCTAAAAAGAGCCTAAAACGCAAAAAAAAAGTAAAAAAAAAAAAAGATTACAAAACGGTGGAAAAAGAGAATTTGTGGTGCACTCTTGCCTTGGATTTGAGAGTTCTGACAGGGAGCGTTATTGCATCAATATTTCCTCGAGCTTTTCCTGTGTCTCAGTTGGCAGAGCATTGCGCTAACAATGCAAATGTTGTGGGTTCAATTCCAGGGAAAGCAAGAACTGACAAAAATGAGTGAATGTAATGTAAATGTCGAGGAAGCCTTCGAAAGATTTGTGAGGATCTCAGAATTTGGATCGGTGTGAAGAGGCTATTCCTCGTTATCTCATTACTGTTTTGAAAGAAAGCTGAAAGCTTTTTTCACAGATTTCTAATGTCCACCACTGGTCTCCATTCTGTCCAAAATCTGTTGGATGGCCGTTTCTCCATGATGTTTTACAAATTGGAGTCTAAAACCACAATTCCAAGAGCTCTGCCCACCGCTATTTCAATCCAGCCGGCCAGCTTAGTGGGATCTTCTGCTACACTGACCGCTTTTGCCAAATGGCGATAAATGCAGGGAGGACGGCTGGGTTCAAAATTTGATCAAATCCTTTATGTGGAGATCTGGGTAAGGAGAGTTTCAGAGAGTGACTGTCAGTAGAACTTTTCAGGCCTCCATGACTTTTTCTTGTGGCTTTTAGTGGCTCTTCATTCTTGTTGACTGACTGTCTGATGGAGGTGGGGTGGAGCACTGAGCAGCCTCAGTAACACCTGTTGCCATGCCGCGTGTCTTCACCCAACGAGTTAATTTACTTCATCCCATTTTGTTTATTATTTAATTTGATGAAGTGGTGAAGAGGAATGTTTAAAAATTGGGCATTGGGAGTCGGGGACACGGGGGACGGATTTCATGTGGGCTTTATGCAAATTACGTGATGACATCATCTAGCGACTTTTAGGGACTTTTGGGTCAGCCAGTAGCGACTTTTTTTTAATGAGGGGTTGGGGACTTGTTTAGTCTGCCTAAACTGATTGAAGAAACCTTTTATTGAGGTTCAGATTATTCAGGAAGCCCCACCCACAATATTTAGCACCAGCTGCCAGTATTTCCGACTAGTATTCCACAAACTATAAAAATATCGTAAAGTTTTAGGACTTCATGACATCACATGTTATTTATCAGATCTTGTGACATCTACGTCTAGAGTGGATTGTCTAGAGTAGAGCTGCGATATGTGAATCTGAAACAAACATCTCCTGCTGGTTCAACCTGCAGCTCTTGTGTGGTCTCCAGGTGACAGGGGTTGTTTTTTGCACATGTGGAGGGACTGACGGAGACCACGTCAGTGCTGGAATACACACAGCTGGATTAATGGATCATTAGTGAAGCTGGCTTCTTAATGGTTGTTTACAGTGGGCGCTAGAGTCCACAGAAGAGCTCAATGGGTTGCTCTTGGGTCGACGTCACTGCAGTCCATTTGTATTTCATGATTCAGCCTGTTGTCAGTATTTTAGCTGATCTAATATATACACATGCTCTTCCCCCGACTCTAGGTATGAAAAGCTGATTGGTGGAAAGTACATGGGTGAGCTTGTGCGACTTGTGGTGCTCAAGCTAGTGAATGAAAACCTGCTGTTCAACGGAGAAGCATCGGATCAGCTCAAAACAAGAGGGGCTTTCGAAACACGCTTTGTCTCCCAGATTGAAAGGTATGTGTAAACAAACACTTATACATCTTTTTTTAAACTTTTAATGCTAACTAAAATAATGCATGAGTGAAAATGGACACAATGCTTTGAAACGTGACCAATGTAAAGCAATGTTTGTCTTTGGTTATTTGTGATGTTTTAGCTTTGTTCTACAGAAATGACAAAAACTGCTCCGGGATACGTCATCCATTTGTGTATTTTACATTTTTAGAAAAAGTCTTAATATCCATAAGACACAATCAGGAACTTTCATTCAATCATTTTCCAACCCGTTTATATAGCTGTGAACAGTGGTTTGCCGACTACAAATATGGGGGCCAAGAGACGCCAAATGCTCTGCAAAACAAATATGAGAAAGCAAAAGAGGAAATTGCTGTTGTTGTGTACAACATCTATCTTTCATAATGTTTGATTAGTCGTGATGCAAGGGCAGTTATTTCATGCTGCAAGTAATCGTCAGAATATGGGCCTAACAAAAAAGTTGAAGATCAGCTGGACATTTGCACTGTCTCAGACTTCTTAAGTTAAGAGCTCACTATTTTGTGGTGTATTTATTAATCTCAGATTAGGTTAAGAAAGTCAAATCCTCCCAAAGTTTTCAGTATTGCAATTACTTCAAACTTGGTTAGAGGGCTACTCTTGGTTAGAAGACTAACATAACATTTCAAAAAGAAAACAGTACTCAACCAATGAAGAGTTCTCTAGGTAGTATCCTTTTTGATGTTCCTTGAAGTGGCCCTCAGCTCTGGATTCCCAAACATTAGAGAGTCTGTGGTCCGAGAGTCTGCAGAGGAGTGTTGGGTGCTGACTTTTATAGGGCCATTTATGTCATAAGTAATCCTCTGAAAAAGTCCCAGTTGAAGTTTTTTGTACTTTTGTAACCTCAGGACAGTGAATTTGTGGTCAGCCTGCTACAGCTCGAGTTATTTCTGTAACCTCTGCTAAATCTCCACTGTACTGCACTGTCCACTCACACATACACACACACACACACACGCACACACACACACACAGATCTGTATGTTTTACAGTCAAGCCATATTTTGGGATTAATGCATTTTTAATCTCCAGATACCTTTGTAAGTTATAAAATATTGAAGGAGAATTGCAAATCCACACCACAACAAACACGATAATTATGTGTAGATTTTGTTTTTAGATTGACGATTTGCCCTCAGATTTGCTCTCTACCATTTATAAGTCATTATAAGCCATTAATTTCCCATTCATATGTATTTAAACAGAATGAGAAAAATTCTGTATGTTTATTAAATAATATGTAAAATGCCATTTAAATAAAAATAATAATGCCTTCAATTTATGCAGCGCTTTTGCAGATGCTCAAATGCTTTTCAGAGCATTTTTCATTCACTCCACATTCACACACAGGTGGTGAAACTACCTTGAATGCCATTTTGCGCCTATGGCCTCCTGCTCTGATGAACTGCAACTGACTGGTCAGTTGTTGAACTCACTGATTGGCCAGAAATGCACCGATACAGTGTGAACACAGCAACGCAGTACAACTTCAAATTATCCAACAGTCCATCGTTTCAACTGAGCCTTTAATTTGAGCTTATAAAACAAGACTTATGCAGCACAAAAGGTCTTCATTGTTTCGTGTTGTGGGCTCAGAGTTGTTCTTCTTTTTTTGGTCAATTTGGTGGCTTTTCTGTATCGTTCTCAATGATGACATCAAGTTCAACTAGACTGAAAATGTGTCTTGCCTAACGTGACATGTCTAAAGTTCTCTCAGAGCTGATACTGGAAGTCAATGGAAGCACAAAGTTGAACCGTGGAGAGTAGAGCTAAGCCATACCAAGACTTTAATAAAATATATAGCGTTTGTGTATTTGCTCCAAAGAACATAATAAAAAGCATCTCCACATGTAACTGGCTTTTTTTGAAAACACTGTGAGCAAAAAAAAAAAAAAAAACAGCATACACATGTGTCTGTTTAAAAAAATGCATCCCCACGGCCACTCAAATAGTTCTCTCTTCGGCCACCATTTCTCTGGCTGTTGTAAACATAGTAGTGACGCAGTATGCCAACAACGTCAAACCCCCCCCTCTGAAAACATAATACTCCAGTTATCCTTTCCGCATGGACTCCGGGTGCGGATCGTATCAAATATGAATCACCTTGGCCAGAGTTTACAAAAATGCAGTTACATGAAACACAGTGCTGCGGTTACGTCTGGACAAACTGCGCAGAAAAATAGCCGTTTTGAAAATAACGGGGTTCGTTTGGACAGGGCCCATGACTCTCCGATCCTCCAGGAGTCCTGCTCAGCATTGGCCTGGTTGCAGTTCCTGCTGGTTCGCCGTATTGAGTACATGCTGTGTTCATTCTGTAACCCATTTATCTTGCAATAAAATGATTCTTGCATTGATACCGGGCCTTTGTGGCAGAACGTAGAAGTAGACCAGAGATTTTCAGTTGGTAACGTATTGTCGAAAATTTGAATGGCAGTGTACCTAAAAATATATGTTTTTACCACATTCCCCAAAAATGTATGGTTTGTGTTTTTCACTTCAGCGATACGGGAGACAGAAAGCAGATCTACAACATCTTGAGTTCTCTGGGGATCCTGCCATCGGAGCTGGACTGTGATGTTGTGCGTTTGGTGTGTGAGAGTGTGTCGATTCGGGCGGCTCATATGTGCGGAGCTGGCCTCGCTGGTGTCATCAACCTCATGAGAGAACGCCGCTGTCAGGACACACTCAAGATTACCGTTGGCGTTGATGGCTCTGTCTACAAACTACACCCACAGTGAGTAGCAGAAAGTGGGAGGGTTTCGGTGCTTTAGATCACGTCAACAGCAGGCTAATGAACTAACATCTGAAGGTTAAAGCTGTCTACTCCTGGGTCCGAGGTATATACAGGTGCATGAACTTTGCAAACTTTATCAAACAAGTGAGCAAATGGGGATTTGGTGTATTTATACATAGTTTTGAGAATTGACAGAATTTCAAGGCAACCTTCTTCAAAACTGATTTTTCAATAGGCCTTTATATTTTCATTCATTCATCTTCGCTTGTTCGCATTCGGGATTACAAGGGTCTGTCGGTGCCTGTCTCCAGCTCACTTTGGGTGAGAGACAGAGGTAGACCTTGGACAAGTCACTAATCCTTCGCAGGGCATCTCAACTATGACCTAAAATAGCTTATCACCACCAGTGTGTGATTTTGGAGTGAATGAATAATGTTCTGAACAATTGTAAACCATCTTTGAGTGTCTAGAAAAGCACTATATAAATTGAAGGCATTATAATAATAATAATAATAATAATAATAATAATAATAATAATAATAATAATAATAATAATATTAACAAGTTTTAAGTATGAATAGTCTGATAGTAGCGTTTTTTCCAGCCTCAATGTAAATATTTTCTGATATTGTTGCAACCACAGGCAGCATAGTAAACTAAAGTAACCTCCCGTGTGTTTTAGTATTTTAAACCGTTTTGAGCCTAAGAATATGAGAACTGTGATGTCTATTGAAATACTACCAAGATATG